TGATCATGCCATGCACTCCAGCCTGGGAAACAGAGTGAGACCCTATTTAAAAAAAAAAAAAAAAATCTAACCTGGGCTCAGGGGTTCATGCCTATAAATCTCAGCACTTTGGGAGGCCAAGGCAAGAGGACTGGTTGGGCCCAGGAATTCAGACCAGCCTGGGGGCAATATAGGGAGACCTTGTCGCTACAAAAAATTCTTTAAAAAGCCAGGCACAATGGTACACACCTGTAGTTCCAGCTACTTGGGAGGCTAAGGTGGGAGGACAGTTTGGTGAGCCATGATCAGCACGGCACTCTGGCCTCGGAGACAGAGCAAGACCCTGTCTCAAAAAAAATTTGTTTAATCTAATTAACTAGGCAGCAGAAAAAACATCAACTTCATATTCAATTTACCTGGCCAACCCCCATTTTAAAATTCAAACTTAGGGCTCCTGTCAAAAACTTCATGGAATTAACCAAAATACCACCCTTCCAAAAAGCAAAGAATGCTTACGGATCCAGATTTTTCTGGTAGTGAAATCACTGGTGTAATTCTATGAAAATGCCTTTTACAAATCTAGTAGCCTAAGTAAAAATGCCTAGTATTTCTGAAAAGTTTATGAACAGTCATTTTAACTTCGATGATGCTAAAAGTTTTCTGACACTTGAAAAAATTAGTTTTTATATACTTTCTAAAAATCAATTTCAAGGGAAAAAATATTTTACTGAACTGGAGAAAGAGGACAAGTTTCCACATAGATGCAGTAGGTAAGTCAAGATGGTTTAGTGCCAAGAGACTGTGTACCCATAAAACACCATATCTCCTACTCACACAAGAGAAACACACACACCTATTTTCCAAACGCATCAGCATTCACCTATGTACTACATAATTACATGTGTTATCCTTGGTATACAAAAATCCTGCGGACCAGCTAATTTTTCATCCAAGACTGTTGACAGGTAGCAGTAGTGAATCACACATTCTCCTGTCTCATCTGCCTTATCATCAGTGACACACGCTGCCAACATCTGAGGTTAAGAATACAAACTGAGGCTACAGATTCTTTTCTCCTCCCCATGATGCTAAATGTTACCTCCATACAATATGGAATGGCCAAACTTAGCATCCAAGACCCAAGTAACTGCCCCAGACCCAAATCTGAAGTAAACCAGAAAAACATGATATTTAATTTTTATTTTAATGACACAAACACTATCAAAATGTTGAACATCCTCTACAGGCAAAGAAGTATGCGATAATAGATACAAACATACCAACCAAATTTTTAAAGAGACAGCCATCATTTCAAATATTTGTCTCATAAACCATCAAAGTCCCAGAAACACCAACTACAGTACAAATTGCATATCCTAGAATACCTCTATAACCAAAAATACTTTGTCAGACCATGTATCCATATTTCAGTGTTGAATATATTGTCTCCATAGATAGATACTGGGTCTGAATTATACCCATTTGGCAGAGGTCTTAAAACACTAATTGGGAAGCAAAATAGAAACATAAACAGATAAACTGAAATCAAGGCTAGCATATTCTAAGGAAAGAAAGTCTCACACAAGAGAAGACTGAATAGAGCCCTTGGGGTTAAAGTAGTCAAAAAAGACTTCTCTAGAGACAGGACCTCTCTTGGCCCAGAACACAGTCTCCATGAATACAAGCAGAGAGGATTTCAAACAGAAAGACTGGCATAAAGAAAGGCCAAGAGGAAGGACTTCATAGGAACAACAAGCAAGTTAGTGTGGCTAGAGTTAGGGATTCTCAAAGAAATTAGAGTTAGGACTGAAGAATGGATCAGTGCCAGACTACAGAGAAACTTGACCACCACACCAAGAAGTGTGAACTTTATTTTGCCTGTATAAAGGAGTTTTCTGTAAGTCCTTACGTTGTGATGTGAGGAGGTAAGAGTGTTGAAATGTGCAAGCATTTACCCAAAGCATAAATGGAGCACAAATATTCCAAATCAAATACCAAATCAATGAGAGGATAAGTATACAAAGCCCAGATACAAAAGAATACTATTGGAAAGGAAGAGGCAAGCAGCAATGCCCAAATAATAAAACTGAACCAAATCAGGCCAGGCACTGTGGCTCACGCCTGTAATCCCAATACTATAGGAGGCCCAGGCAGGTAGATGATCATTTGAGGTCAGGAGCTCAAGACCAGCCTGGCCAACACGGTGAAACCCCATCTCTACTAAATACACAAAAATTAGCCGGGCGTGTTGGCACGCGCCTGTAATTCCAGCAGCTACTCGGGAGACTGAGGCAGAAGAATCGCTTGAACCCAGGAGGCGGAGGTTGCAGTGAGCCAAGATCACGCCACGGCACTCCAGCCTGGGCAACAGAGTGATGAGACTAGGTCTCAAAAAAAAAAAGGCAGGGGGTGCCGGGCGCAGTGGCTCACACCTGTAATCCCAGCACTTTGGGAGGCCGAGGAGGGCAGATCACGAGGTCAGGAGGATAGAGACCATCCTGGCTAACACCTCTCTACTAAAAATACAAAAACTTAGCCGGGCGTGGTGGCGGGCGCCTGTAGTCCCAGCTACTCGGGAGGCTGAGGCAGGAGAATGGCGTGAACACGGGAGGCGGAGCTTGCAGTAAGCCAAGATCGCACCACTGAACTTCAGCCTGGGGGACAGAGAGAGACTGCGTCTCAAGAAAAAAAAAGGAGGAGGAGGAGAGAAAAAAGAAAAACCTGAACCAAATTAATAGTGGTCTACTTTTGTTTTGTTTTCAAATGGAGTCCCGCTCAGTCACCCAGGCTGGAGTGCAGTGGCTCGATCTCGGCTCACAGCAACCTCCGCCTCCGCGGTTCAAGGGATTCTCTTGCCTCAGCCTTCCGAGTAGCTGGGATTACAGGCACACGACACCATGCGCGGCTAATTTTTTTGTATTTTTAGTAGAGACGGAGTTTCACCATGTTGCCCAGGCTGGTCTCGAACTCCTGACCTCAGGCGATCCGCCCGCCTCAGCCTCCCAAACTGCTGCGATTATAGGCAAGAGCCACCGGCCGGGTCAGTGGTCTACTTCTGTAATTCACATTTAAAGTTTACATTTATTATAAAGCACATGAACAAGCTCTCACTGTATCAATTACACATATGAAGCAATTTGCCTCAAATATTGTACAACTGGATCATGAGTTCCAAAACTATGCTAACCCTCAGACTTTAAATGTGACATGCCACAACCCCTATCAGCGTACAGACATGGATCAAGGCCACGAGCTTAAAATATATTACTGAATGAGTTCATCATACCCAAGCACATTTCAAGAGTAAATAAATGGGTGTCCCAATGCTCTGAGGCATTAATAAAAGGTGCTAAAACAGCAACAGAAATAAAATCCTTCATGACATTCAAATAACATCCTCCTCAAAAGAGCAAAATGTGTCATTACTGTCCTATCTCGTAAACCCCCAACAGCCCAATAAAAACAATGTTATGAAATTTTAGTATAAAGAGCCTGCCTATCTTTAGAGCCAAAAGTCAAGAGGATTCTAAATTTTTTTAGAATTACCTCATTTAATTCAAAATAATAACAAGGAGACAAGATCCAGCTTTATTTCTCCCATAGTTCAAATGACTTTCCCAAGAGTCTTGGCACAAGCCAAGATCAAAATTCCTTATGGTTTCCCCTGGTTTATGTTTTGTACAGAGTCATCCATGTTTGATCAAAACAGGGGTACTGTTGGATGCTGCACAAGTGATGTTAACTAAAACACATAGGTAAAGAAATCACTCTTTACAGAATAGGTCCCAGAGTTAAAAGATTTCTCTCAGGCCAAGCGCGGTGGCTCACGCCTATAATCCAGCACTTTGGGAGGCCCAGAGACGGGCGGATCACCTGACGTCGGGAGTTCGAGACCAGCCTAACATGGAGAAACCCCCATCTCTACTAACAATACAAAATTAGCCGGGCGTGGTGGCGCATTCCTGTAGTCCCAACTACTCAGAAGGCTGAGGCAGGAAAATCGCTTGAACCTAGGAGGTGGAGGTTGCAGTGAGCCGAGATAGCGCCACTGCACTCCAGCTTGGGCAACAAGCGCGAAACTCCGTCTCAAAAAAAAAAAAAAAAAAACCTCGAATTGTGTTCCTAAAACGGTATTTTTGCATATTAGATTTATTAACATCATCATAAACACGGTGAAACCAAAATACTGGTAAAATGGGGCGGCGCTTAAATCGACAGTCTACGGAGTTACAGAAAAGGGTAATCAACTGACGGAAATACACAATTCTCAGCAAGAGAGTTTCAAAACACCAGTGTATCTCAAAGATAATGGGCCGGTTCAAACTTCCAGGCTTAACCTAAACTGCCTGTTCCTTGCGCTTAATGCCAGCATTCGCTACAGTTCTTTTGTCTGTGAAATGACCCGCACCAAACCACAGCAGAGAAGAAACAGATCCTTGCACTGAACACTCGTTACTTAGAACAGGAGGGGTAGACGAATCTTTCCACTAGCTCCAGCTCCTCCTCCCCACCCGCCTCGTCGTCCCCCACCTTTATTTTCCTAGAAATGGCAACTGGAGGCCACCGCAGGAGGTAGAAAGCAAGTGGCCGAGGGACTGAAACACAAGTTTGGAGACCAGAACCAACTTGTGGCGATGGACCCAAGTGTTTCGGCCTATTGCGGAGTGGGACCGAAACCCCACTAGCTAACCCGTCTCCGGCAGGAAAAGAAGTTGTGGGGAAATGTGGCGGAAGAGCGGCGGCGGGACCCGCACCGCGTCCAGCCGCGGCCGGCCGGCGGTCGGTAAACAAGCTGGGCGGACCCGCCCTCCCACAGCCCCTGGGCCGTCCCCGCACCCGGAGCGCCTAAGATGGAAGGGCCGACAGCGGCGGCCCGGGCCCCTGCCCTCCCCGCGCCTGCGACGCGGCCGCCCCCGGGGTGCCGGGCGGGCGGGCAGCCCGGGAGGCCCAGCAACCTGGGCGCCGCCTGGGAGCGAGGGACCCGGCAGGCCGCGGTGGGGCGCCCCCCGGGGCCCGGTTACCTGGCGGCGGCGGCTCCCCCTCCAGCTCCTGCTCCTCCTCCCCGTCCGACGGGCGCTTGGCGGCGGCAGCGGCGGCGGCGGCGGCGGCGGCGGCGGCGACTCCCCGCGCAGCCCGCGGCGACGAGTCGAGCCCGTCCCCTCTCCGCCTCCCTCCGCGCCGCCGCCCGCCCCGCTGCTGCCGCCTCCGCCTTCTCCCCTCAGTCAGGACATGGTCTCCTCGGGTCCGCGCGCGGCTCCTGGCTGCCGGAGGCCGGGGTAGAGGGGCGGAGAGGAGGCGCGGAGGCTGGGGAGCCCCGGGGGGCGGGGGCAGTGAGGTGTAGGAGGCGGCCGCGGGCGCTGCGGACCCCTAATGGCGGCAGCCGAGGGACCCGGAGCCAAATAAACCCCGCGGCGAGCGGCACAACGTCAAGGCCGGACCCAGACGCTCGCCGCCCTGTCATTGGCCCCGAGGCCGCCGGCGGCGCAGCCAATGAGCGGCCGCCTCTTTCCGGGCTCAGGGGGCGGGTTGAAAGAGGGTGACGTCAGCCGGAGCGCGGCCTCGATTGTGAGTCGGTGGCGCGCGTGGGCTCCGCGCCGGTTCCCTTCCGCGGACTACTGTGGGCCTGAGGGTGCCGGACCGCCGCGGGGTGCGTGGCGCTCGGGGGCGCGGGCTGATGGCGGCCCGGAGGGCGTCCTCGTCAGTGTCTGGAGGAGCGCTTTGCCTCGTCTCTGCGACACATGCGCCAGAGTTTTAAGTTAACCCCCAGGTCTCACGTATCCTAAGCGATCTACGTATAACCCAGATGCTGCTTTACTTTTTCTTAAGGACTTTGAAGCTCTTCATAAAACACCAGGGAAGACAAAGCTCTAGGTGCTTTGTGATGGTTTGATTTTTTAAATTTATGTTTTGCAGTGTCCGATTTTTACCCCTGCCTTTGCTGGGGCTATCCGTGTATATGGATGTATGTGTATATTTCTCGTTGCTCTGTGCATGGTACATGTGTGCGTACGTAGATAGACACGCAATGAAAAGTCATGGAGACCTTGCGTCTTGCTCTCCTCCACGACTTACTGGCGCTAGTCTTGGGAAAATCCAACCTTCTTATGGATACCTCTTCTGTAAATTAGAAATAAACCTTTCCTAATAAGCCTTATTTCTGTAAATAAGCCTTACCTATCTTCAGGCCGAGGATAAATTACAGCTATGGAAAAAATACTGCTTAGGAGAATCCCCTGGGACCAAGTTCTAAACAGATATGTGTATTTCTTTCTTTTTGTACTATAAAAATAACCAAATAACCAAAATAAGCCAGCCATTTGTTAAAACCCCATGAGTATGGGAAATTTTTCTAGCAAGAGATCTTTGTTTTTTCCCAGTGGGACTTTACCTTGTAGTTTTCATACTTAAAATTTTGTGAGGAGAAGATAGAATTTGAAAGATCATAAAAGACAGCAACTCTTTAAAAGCTGTAAATTTGACCGGGCGCGGTGGCTCAAGCCTGTAATCCCAGCACTTTGGGAGGCCGAGACGGGCGGATCACGAGGTCAGGAGATCAAGACCATCCTGGCTAACCCGGTGAAACCCCGTCTCTACTAAAAAATACAAAAAACTAGCCGGGCGCGGTGGCGGGCACCTGTAGTCCCAGCTACTCGGGAGGCTGAGCCAGGAGAATGGCGTAAACCCGGGAGGCGGAGCTTGCAGTGAGCTGAGATCGGCCACTGCACTCCAGCCTGGGCGACAGAGCACAGAGCGAGACTCCGTCCCAAAAAAAAAAAAAAAAAAAGCTGTAAATTTAAAAGTTTTCTATTAGAAAAAACCTATACTACTACCAAAGGGCATTTAACAGTTGGATACCTCAGGTTCAACAGGAGGACCATAATTCAGAGTTTAATCAGATTTTTAAAATTTTAATGGGACTTCATTTATTAAAACTGTTCATGGTGTTCTAGCTTTCTCTTTGCATAAATATGGTGAGGAATGTGTGTATAGCTTCACTATGGCCAGCAAAGAATAATGCTGTATCTTATAGATTCCCCTCTCCAGCAACATATTTTATTGGCATATTTTATTCTCATAGCCATTCCTATAGTGTAGATATTTTCGACAATCCTCGTCTGCCCAGAGCAACATTATTTATTCAATAAATTGAGTTTAAACTGCAAGTCTTTTGCCTGCAAAACTTAACATTCTCGTATATATTTATATATATGAGCTGTATTTGTAATTAGTGTATAATTAACACAATTGTAGATGAGATCAAACACCATGTTACTATGTTAAGAACAATAGTTAAGCCAACATTTCAACTTTGAAAATATTTTCTTTAAGAGCTCCTGAATTCCTCCAGCTTCCCCTTCCTGAATTCAGACTGCAGAGCCTCTCAGTTACAAGCTACCAGGAATCACAGAATTAGGTGCTTTTGTTTCGCTTGAGTTGTAGTTTATTTTGGTAAGGAAATGGGATATCACTAGGATAAAGTTTATTAACTTCTTCCTCAATTGAGTAAATAGTGAATATCACGTACCAATGAATAAGAAGCCCACAAAGATAAGACACATCTTAGTGAGGAAACTACAGCATAGAGAAAAAAAGAGTAAGATAGAAATAACCATAATTATGGCCAGGCGCAGTGGCTCACCCTTGTAATCCCAGGACTTTGGGAGGCCGAGGCGGGTGGATCGCCTAAAGTCAGGAGTTCGAGACCAGCCTGACCAACATGGTGAAATCCCGTCTCTACTAAATACAAAACATTAGCCGGGCGTCGTGGTGCGTGCCTGTAATCCCAACTAGTTGGGAAGCTGAGGCAAGAGAACCTCTTGAACTCCAGAGGCGGAGGTTGCAGTGAGCTGAGATTGTATCATTGCACTCCAGCCTGAGCAACAATAGCAAAACTGTGTCTCAAAAAAAAAAAGAAAGAAAGACCTGTAATTATAGGTCAGGCGCAGTGGCTCATGCCTGTTATCCCAGCAATTTGGGAGGCCGAGGCAGGCAGATCACCTGAGGTCGGGAGTTTGAGACCAGCATGGCCGACATGGTGAAACCTCGACCCTACTAAAAATACAAAAATTAGCCGGACGTGGTGTCACGTGCCTTTAACCCCAGCTATGCGGGATGCTGAGGCACGAGAATCATTTGAACCCAGGAGGCGGAGGTTGCAGTGAGCTGTGACCATGCCATTGCACTCCAGCCTGGGCAACAGAGTGAGACTCTATCTAAAAAAACAAACGAACAAACAAAATATATATAGAGAGAGAGAGAGAGAGAGACAGATGTCCTATTGAAACAATCCCTAAGAGAGGGGCCTGGGCATGGATATGTTTTATGTTTTTTGTTTTTTGTTTTTGAGATGGAGTCTTGCTGTGTCCCCCAGGCTGGAGTGCAGTGGCACGAACTCGGCTCACTGCAGGCTCCGCCTCCCACGTTCATGCCATTCTTCTGTCTCAACCTCCCGAGTAGCTGGGACTACAGGCACCCACCACTACGCCCGGCATTTTTTTTTTTTTTTTTTTTTTTTGTATTTTTTGGTAGAGACGGGGTTTCACTGTGTTAACCAGAATGGTCTTGATCTCCTGACCTCGTGATCCACCCGCCTCAGCCTCCCAAAGTGCTGGGATTACCAGCGTGAGCCACCGCGCCCAACCTATGGATATGTTTTAAACCCACTCCCCAGGTAACTGAAACGTGCAGCCAGTATTGAGAACTACTGACAAAACAACCCTCAAACCCCGAAAGCTTGCAGATGTGGAAATTAATGCCTAAAGATGTTAAGTGACTTAACAAGAGCTAGACAAATTAACTCTGTAATTCGAACAGGAACACATAACTCTTTTTTAAATGTTTTTTTATTTTTTTATTTTTGTAAAGACAAGATCTCACTCTGTCACCCAGGCTGGAGTGCAGTGGTGCAGTCGTAGCACACTGCTGCCTCAAACCCCCGGGCCCAAGTGATCCTCCCACCTTGGCTTTCCCAGTAGCTAGGACTACAGGCATGCTCCACCATACCCGGCTAATTTTTAAACTCTTAGTGGAGACAAAGTCTGTGTTGCCCAGGCTCGTCTTGAACTGCTGGATTCAAACGATCCTCCTGCCTCTGCCTCCCAAAATGCTGGGATTACAGGCACATACCACTGTGCCCAGCAGAACACAGAGCTCTTGATTCCACAGTCAAATGTTCCACTATATTTGAATTTAAAAGATATCATCAATAAATACAGCAGATGGCAATGTCACAGTTACAGAACTGTTGCTGATTGGCACACCGACCAAACTAACATTCTACTTATGTGTATTTGGATTCGGAGAAATATTTCATTTGGAAAAAAGTATACACTGTCTTTGTGGGGTTTTTAATTTCCTTTTCTTAGAAACCTTATATTAGACTCGGTGCAGTGGCCCATGCCTCTAATCCTAGCACTCTGGGAGGCCGAGGCAGGAGAATTGCTTGAGCCTGGGAGGTCCAGGCTGCAGTGAGCCATGATGGCACTACTGTACTACACCCTGGGCAACAGAGCAGGACGCTATCTAAAAAAAAAAGAAAAAAGGCCGGGCGCAGTGGCTCATGCCTGTAATCCCAGCACTTTGGGAGGCTGAGGCGGGTGGATCACGAGGTCAGGAGAATCGAGACCATCGTGGCTAACATGGTGAAACCCTGTCTCTGCTAAAAATACAAAAAAAAAAAAAAAAAAAAAAAAAAATTAGCCAGGCGAAGTGGCGGGCGCCTGTAGTCCCAGCTACTCGGGAGGCTGAGGCAGGAGAATGGTGTGAACCTGGGAGGCAGAGCTTGCAGTGAGCCGAGATGGCGCCATTGCACTCCAGCCTGGGTGACTGAACAAGACTCTGTCTCAAAAAAAAAAAAAAAAAAAAGGGACCTTTGTAGTAAAGTGTAGAGACAGTATAGTTTTGTTGATAGTTTGTTCTGGCTTTCGTTTCAGTTTTTCCCAGACTAACTGTAGAGTTTATAATTCCATATTGCACTTTTGTGAAAGTTTTGAATGCAAAATTTGGATCTGTAGTTCCATTAACAGTAGAAAAAAATGGATCTTTAGTTCCATTAACAGTAGAAAGCCATAAAGAGGTTTTGAGCAGGAAGGTGCCAGTATTGGACCTACCAGCCTTTATCTGGAATGTCTGTAGGACAAATGAGGGCAGAAGTAGAAACAGGGACAGAGAAGAGACAGGGACCTAAAACCAAAGTAGCTGTGGGAATGGAAAGGAGGGCCAGGAGTGAAATGGGAGACAGTGCAATCTTCAGGATTTGCAAGTGACTAACTCTGGGGCAGAAGAA